AAAAAAAAAAAAAAAAAAAAAGCAGCAAGAAAAAAAAACTCAAAACAAAAACAAACCTCTTTTCTAGACTTCAAAGTATTTTTTTTTTCCTCTCATTGAGTTTATTGGTACATTTTAGGTATACAGTACAGTTACATTCATCATTGGGATCTTGTACCTGACTTCAAATTATGTTAAGAAGTTACTTCTGAAAAAACATAATCTAATTTTTAGTCTTTCATTTTTCAGTGAAAAGAGCCAAGTACTAACTTCTGGTTACAATAAAAATAGGCAAATCAGAAAAGGAAAGAAAAATAGTAACATTTAATTAATATTTTGCAAATATAAGTAAAACACCTATTATTTTATAGTTACCACTAAGCTAGGGCTTATAGAAAGCTCAATTAAATATTAAAATTAACATGTGAGACTCCAAAACACATAATAATCTAGAAGGAAGGTTAAGAAAAAAAAGTGCTGTGAATAAAAAAAAACAAAACAAAAAACCAAACTTGTAAGTGAAGAAAAATATTCGAAAATGAGTGAACTATCTTAATTACTCACACTTACGAGAACAGAGAAGTTAAAGAGTGTTAACTCAATGTTAAGAGTGACCAAAAACAAAAGCAAGCAAGCTCACAGCATGTTAGTGTTAAGCTCATAAAACAGTCTTTTTGAATGACTGAGATCTTCAGGTTATTCTATCATTTCTCTTAGCTGATCAGAAACTTGTACCAAGATGATACTAGAACCTTATTTCTTCTGTTCCTTTAGCTTCATGAAATTTAAAACTTTGAAAGTTTGATTTCACCTCCAAAAACAAAATTCTCCACTAGTCATAAAAGTAATGAAACCTGAAATATACATGTATATTCCTTATTTGTAAAATTTCCATATAAAAATTATACAGAATAATGTAAAAAACTGAGAAATAATTACAATTTAAAAAGGACTACCAAATCTGTAGGTTCAGATTCAGTTCATATTCCAGGAAGGAAAACCATTTATTAATACAAATAATCTCCAAATTCCAGGCTGTCCTTGAATTTGCAGCAATCCTCCTGCCTCAGCTCCCTGAATGCTGAGATGACAGGTGTGCACCACCAAGCCCTATTTTTATTTAGTTGTTCATATTCATCCTTTACGTCTTGATTTAAATTTGTTTCTCAGTTGGGTCTTTGCTGACACCCATTTATTAATTACTTATTATTTCCTTATTTTTTAGGTTCTAGGGATTGAACCCAGGGCCTCACGTGTTTGTACACACATTCTACTACTGAGTTATACACTCAACTGTTTACCTCATATTTATTACTCTTGCACTTTATACTTTTATACTTTGTTAAGCACAAAACTTGCAAATACATGCTATATATATCTTCTTTGCCAGACAATAAGATGTATAAGGGTGGGGGAATGTCTGTTTATCTCTAAAACTTGAAAATATTTGTCAAATGAATCCCTTGGCAATGTAGAATCATTCTGAAACCTAAGATTTAAAAAAGTTTTTTTTCTTTATCTTTTTTTTTGGTACTCGGGATCGAACTCAGGACCTTGCACTTGCAAGGCAGGCACAGTGCCACTGAGACAAATCCCTATCCCTTTTTCTTTATTTTTAATGACTAAGAAACATGAATGGAAAACTGTTAAAGACATGACCTTAAATTTCATTCTTAATATTAACTTCTACTAAATTTCTTTCTTTGTAGTTACTAGGGACTGCTTTTAATTTTTTAGCCCCAGTACTTTCTGAGCATTAAATCAGGATCAGAAACTAGTATTACGGAAAACATCCATTCTAGGTTACTTCTGAGACACTTCAACTTCTGAGTAAGTACAATTCCAAAGCAACCACACTTTGTCTTTTATTATATAAAATAAATAAAAAAACTGTGTAAGAAGTACTAATGCATTTTAGGTAATAAAAAAAGAGCCTGAAAAAAAAAATAGTTTGAAGGCTCTTGTCTTTTTAAGAGCCTGAAGATATTTTACAGTTCTTTTTTAAACTTTCCTACCATCTTCTACCAACATCAAACACAAGATTAAAACAACCCTATCTACTTGAAAAAAAATTTATTTTGAGATGGGGGCCTTGCTGTTACTCATGTCAGTCTCATGTCACACATTCAAGCAATCCTCTGCCTCAGCCTCTTGAGCAGCTGAAACTGTGAGTGCCATCAAACCAGGACTTACACACGTGTGTGTGTATGTGTTTGTGCATCCAACTCTCTCTCTCTCTCTCTCTCTCTCTCTCCCACCACCCTCCTCTCCCTCTCTTTCATTTTGAGACCTGGTCTCACTCTGTAGTTCAAATTGGCCATCTCACTATTTAGCCCAGGTTGGCCTTGAAATCACTGATCCTCCTGCCTCAGCTTCCCAAGTGCTGAGATTACAGGTGTGCACCACCTTGCTCACCTTCTCGTATTTTGAAAGTGAACAATTCAAACAGTAATAGCTAACATTAATCAGCAGTGTCTTTATGCTAGACTTTGCCCATGGTCACACCGGACAGGAAGCTAGGATTTGCACCTGCCAAACCTGGATCCAAATCTCCTGCTCTTTTCATTGGCTTAAAACTGTAATGGTTCCTATCTTTAAAATTCTATCTTTATTCCATATGCCCTTCCATCTATTTCTCTTGCTACTGCTCTGAAGAATTTCTACTTTTCTTACTTATTCTCTTCCTATTAGTAAATAATGAGTAATTTAAAAATTCCTCATGACCAAAACATAACCACCCTTGCCTCATCATTCACTCCCACAGCTGATCAATCCACTGGCAAATCCTCTAGCCCCATCTATCTTAAGCATTTCCTCCATCACTGCTCAGTCCAGGCCACCATTATGCATGTTCTTTGAGCTCAGCTATCAGTTTAGGACTCATTTTATTTCAATACTTGCATGTATTTTTTTATCAGTTTTCTACTCAAATGTCATCTATCAATCAGGAATTCCTTTTCTAAATAAATAGCAACGTCTCCATTTTTGTTTTATGTTTCTTCATAGCACTGTTCTAATATTCTCTATAAATACTCAATTTTTTATCTTCTGGTTACCTTTCTCCTTCATTCCACAGAATGTCCCTTTTATAAAGATAAGGAACTAGTCTGTTTATTAAACACTATTAACCTAACACAATTATAAGTACATAGTAGGTGCTCAATTAATGCTGAATGATTAAAATTACTTTTGAGTATCTATGTTCTTCCTTTGTGTTCTTAAAATTTAATATTTGGGGAAGAGCATTTCTATTGTTTCTACTGGCATGTGCAAGGTTCTAGATTAAATCCCCAGCACTACAAAACCAAACCAAATCCCAAAAATAAAAAAGATACGATTGTCAAGTTAAAAACCATAATCAGATGAAGCTAAAATTTAAATATCAAATATATTCAGTTTTAAAATTATTGATCCCTAAATAAAAAAATCACATTTACAGTTTTAAGATCTTCATATTTCTGTAAACAACATTCACAATATCCTTTTTTTTTCTTCTCTTTCAACTGGAGATGAACTGGGGTTCCACCACATTTATCGCCATCTGTTTGGATTCTGGTGACAGAAATACATGGTATAAAAATTAGCTGGTAAACCTGAAGAGTAATTTTAAAAATTTATTTTTCTAACCCATCATACGTAGAAGCTGCCATAACTTACACAGAGATCTTTATCAGTAAAAAATGTCAACTACATTTCTTTTTAAGAAATGTAAATGGAAACTAAGAATGTAATGAACATTCTTGAGATGGCTGAGGAAAATCATTCTCATTAACTGGAAACATTAAACCCTCCCCAAACTAAAGTGTCTAAATATAACCTACTTAAAACGGATTCGGACTTTGAGCCTAGTTTAAGGGCAGTAAAAACTTTTACCCAGGGTATGTCAGCAGAATACTTATTAGAACATATACAACCACTACCACCACAGCACAGAACGAACCATTTCAAATGCTGGTCGATAAAGAAACTATTACGAGATGATAATATAAACAATATTCCTTCTGAAAGTAAAGATTCAAACTAACCTTAGTTTAACCTGAGCTTGCTTTTGGACGCTAGTTGGCTTATCTACATCAAATGGACTGCAGGGCTTCTGAACAGAATAGTTTATAAAAGGCATATTGGTCAGCTGAAGATAAAATGGCCTATAAAATCTAAAAGAATAATAAAAAAAACAAAACAAGCTTCTTTATGAGAAAAAAAAATCTTAAAGCCTTACATTTCAAAATCATACAATTCAAGTGAAATCTCAAAACAGAAATTGAGTAGGGCTCAAAGTACCATCAAAGAACAATCTGTAGGCTTTATGTTAACATTTAAAAACAATTTCTAAACTGTGGTTAAAATACACATAAAATTTCATATCTTAACCATTTTAGTTGCACAATTTCAGCATTTAGCATTCACAATACTGTGGAATCATCACTAATACCATCATCCATCCCCAGAACAAGTGGATCCAAAGCTCTTTTACTTCATCAGCTCACAAACTCTTAACAGTCCCAAGTCTGCACATTCGTTTCCCAACCCTTTGGGAACTATCACTCTTCATATTATTCTTATGAGTTCTACTATTGTACGTGCTTCATGTAATTGGGATAATGCAGTATCTTCCTACTTATCAGAATAATTTTCAGACATTTCATCTATGTTATAATACATTTAAAATTTCATTTTTTTAGACTTTTTATTTGCCCTGGACGGCGGCCACACTAATATATGAAGTAGCATCTCATTGCGATTTACACATGCATTTCTCTAATCAATGGTCAGTTTCTTTTTATTTACTTGTTAACTATTTATATAGTATCTCTGATAAATGTCTATTCAGTGATTTGGTCCATTTTTAAATCAGGCTATTTGATGTGTTTGTTTTTGTTCCCCAAAGTCTATGTCTGGAAGGCGACTAGAGCATAGAGGCACTGTACTCATGAGTAGTCAGTCTTCTGATGAGCTCAGAGCGGGTTTGCTGTGAGGATGTGGGGCCTGGTTAGAGGTCAGTCTCTGGGTGTGTGACCTAGAAGGGTGTGTTCTTCCTTGTCCCTGGTCTCTTCCTTCTCTGCTTTTTGGCTGCCATGGGATGAGCAGCTGTCCTCTGCCAGGCCTTTCTACCGTTTCTATCTTGAAGCCAACAGACCTTAGACTAAACCCATTGGAAACTGCGAGCCAATTAGTCCACTCCTCCTTTAAGAGTTGCCAGTGTTGGGTATGGGCTGCAGGAACAAATACAAGTGATATTTCCTTTTGATTTAGACAATTTTATATTATAAATATATATGATATAAACGATACCATATAAATATATTCTAGATATTAACCTCTTGCAAATCTCTTCTCCTGTTCCTGGGGTTATATTTTTATTGTGTACTGTCTTTTGATATGCAGAAATGTAGAATTTTGAATAGTGGATATTATGTTTAGGTTTTATATTTCCAAACACAACCTAGTAATTTTTTAAAAAACAAATGTAGGAGTACTTTTTAGTACTAGTTCTAAATCACGTGGTATTGCGTTTAGCCAGAGAGTGATTATTTGAATACTCAAAAATGAGTTGGTCTCATGATTGCATTAAACCAAATACTTTAAAGATACATTTACATTATACTGAAACTAAATTCAGTCCCTGAACACAACTGAATCAATTCTATAGAAATATTAGTTAGTATAAGGGGACCTAACAGTATTAATGAAGACAGCTTAATTACCTAGGAATTTTCTCATTTAATACTGTAATAACAGATTGGCTTTAGATACTTACTGGCTCGTATCTTCTACTTTTACAAAAGGCTTTTTCAGTCTTCCTGCTTCAGAAAACAGAAAACATAGTATTAGATGCCTTCTTTTTCTAAATAAAACCACTGTGGGGGAAAAAAAAATCACCCCAAAGCCTAAAACAACAACACACAAACTTCAAAATTTTAAGCCTCAAGTGAAAAATTTTCCAATATCACTCTATTTTCCCTCCCTTCATATTTTTTAAAAAATAAAAACTCTACAACAAATATTACTGTTCAATAATAATATAAGGGTAATCAAAACAACATGAACAAATATTTTATAAATACTCCCAGGGTAAACCACTTCAAACATCTTTCACATGTTATCATAATTGGCACTGTCACCATCTCACTTTACTGCTGTCTTAATTCACTGATTATTTCTAGTTGGAGATACTTTGTAGCAGAATAATATTATCTCCTTGCAGCATGATCCAACCCAGTTGTTTTCCTGTCTTTTAGAATAAATTTCTTCTGCATCATCCAATACAAGTTTCATGTACTTTGTACTGCTCACAGAGTCAGACCTGAATGGAGGATCTATTCTGCAAGTATCTGGAGATGAGACAGGTGGGCCACACCGTCACCTGTACTTTCTGACCCAGGCCCTGGTACACCACGGTGGAATCTCACAAAGACCAAACTACCTACCCACTGCTTTGCTCATATTCTCAGATTCTTAAAGTGAATGGAGTTCCCCAAAAATTTATGGACAGAATTCAGCAGGAGCACAAATGGAAACCAAAAAAACTGCACTTTTATTTTCACTAGTCTGATATTTAACATTTCCTCCAACTATAAATCTAAGCAATAAATCACAGTAGTAACTTTGACATCACTGAAAAGAACAATTTTTCACATCATATAAGTTACACAACTATCTCAAAGCATCGTTTATGGTCATCACTTTAAAATGTCAGCAGCAAGGCAGGTGTGGTGGTGTATGCCTGTAATCCCAGCATTCTGGGAGGCTGAGGCAGAAGGATCCTAAGTTGGAGCCCAGCCTGGGCAACATAAAGACACTTCATGAGATTCTGCCTCAAAATTAAAAAATAAAAAAGAGCTGAAAATGTAGCTCAGCCTGAAGGCCCTGGGTTCAATCTGCAGTAGGGGTGGGGAAGGGATATGTGGCATGGTGACATATAGCAGCAATGAGAATCAGTGCTAGAAATTTTTTTTTTTAAGGTACTGGGGATAGAACTTGGGAATTTGCACTTGTGAGGCAGGCGGCGGCATCACTGAGCTAAATCCCCAGCCCTAGAACTTGTTTTTACTTCAAAATAAAAAGCAAGTAACCACTATTTCATTATAAAAACTACTTTGGTAATGACTTTCAATACAATCAGTTTTCTTGATCACCTGTTGATTAAAAAGATAAAAGATATTATTCTTGGAGAGGATAGGGGGACACAGACTTCACCAGACTGTCAAAAGAGTCTATGCCCTAAAAATGACCAAGAAACTTCTGAATAAATAAAATCACTTACATGACTTTAGAAACTATTTACTATTTGCTAGAAGCAAATAAAACACATTTATGGCTATCAACTTACTTCTTGTTTTTTGTGTTCCAATACCAACTTTTTTCCCCTTCAAAAAAAGAAAAGACAAAATGAAAAAATGGAAATAAAGTGTTTGTAAATGGGGAGGGGAGAAAGGGGGCGAAGGGAGGGCACGGATAAGGGGAAAAAATGAGAGCCAAGACCTGTCATGTAAAGGTACAAGATCCCAATGATGAGTGCAACTGTACTGTATAACTAAAATGTACCAATAAACTGAAGGAAAAAAAAAAAAGGAAAAGGAAAAAAAGAAAAGACAGGGTTTGAAAGTACAGTGAAAAACCATAATGGCAACTGTTCATTACTCTCAAGATTTAAAAAAATCTTGCTTTTGAAAATCAACTCAACCATAAAAACAATGATCACTCAATAATTAGATTCTGTATATTGGTATAGAATTTAGTATTACAAGCTCAATTTTACAATAAAACTACAAATACCTTGCATTTTCTGTAACTATTTTAGCTTTCGTAGAAATTAACCAATATGGGAAAGTTACTGTCCATGAAATCTAAAGACCTTTGTATGAGGAGCCAGGGATTTAGCTCAGTGGCACTGTGCTTTGCCTGGCCTGAGCTGGATCCCCAGTACTAAAACCAACAAAAAAACCAACAAAAAAACCACTTTGTGTTAAACTGAACAAAGGAATTAGTAAAAAATTCGCTAGAGTTTATCAGTTCAGCCAATGTGAAACATGCTATAGAATCAATATTACTGATTATAGCCAAAAACTATGGACAACATTCAATGAGCAACTGTCTAAAGCCAGCAGTTATAACTCCAATTGCATCTCATCTTTGTTGCTAGAACAAAGAAAGAGTCGCAATGGTCAAGGAATACCAATGGAGTCTGTGTTTTTCTTCTTTCTTCCACAGCTCTGCTCTAAGATTGGGTCCCAGTTACAAAGTTGTGGTTTTAAAGTAGCATGGGGAGCTAAAACTGAGAAATCTCATTCAGGAAAAACTGGGAAAAGGCTTTTCTGGCATGAAGGGGAAATTTAGGAAAGGAGCAAGCTGGAGATGGAGATCCCTAATGCCCTGTTTAAATAAATTCACCCAAGTGCCAGGCTTTCAGTTACAAAGAAATAAGAAAAAATTATCAAATCTTGAGGGAAAACAACCATCAGATGCTACCAACAAGATAGTATCGCTCTCAGAATTATCAGAGAAAGACTTTAAAAGTGAAAGCAAAAACACTTAAAATGAGCCTAAGATTTCAGTAGAAAAATTATAGTATAGTTGTAGAAAGTGTCACTTTCCTTGTCAAAAGAACAAGTGCCAAAAATTACCATGACAAACTATTATGTCTTCATTTCTTTGTATACAGGAATGAATGAAAAACACACCAAAAAAGAGTGCTCTGGGAACGAGAGCAAAGACAAAGTTAAGAGAAACTCCAGAAGAGAAGTTCAAGGAATGAACAGAAATAGTTGGGAGAATGAATATGGTCATTATCAAACGAATTTGACAGGCTGATCAGGAATTTCATTATCTTTAAAGTCAAAACGTGAATGAGAAACATGGAGATTTGAGTAGCATAGATAAGGATTATAAAGATTAAACAGTACATACGTAGAGATGTAGGAATTTTATTATTTTTGTTTTAAAGGATGAAGAAGGTCTGAACCTGTACTGACACTTCAAAGAAAAATATACACAAAATTCAGAAACATGCATAGATTCTAGAAACCTATCCTTGCAATATTCTAAGAGGCAGTAATATTTTATACTTGGTAGGACAATTTTACGGACACATAAAAAAAAGCAAACAATTGTTTTTAAAAAATCAGTTTAAAATTAAAGAAGACAACATACCACATCTCTTACAGAAGTACTTGATTTCTTGATTAAGTACAGCTCTTGTTTCTTTTGTTCAATGTAGCATCTAATATCTTTATTAAAAAAGGGCTCAGGATTAGCAATTTTTCTTGTGGCGTTTAACAGAGTTGTAACAAATTTAGGTGAAGGACTTACCATTACAAATGTCCCTTATTACTAAACTTTTCACTATGCAAAATCAGAAACCAAGGGACAGACGTGGGTACTTGTTAACAAATATTGTTGAAAGATAATAAAATCTTACCATCAATATGAAGAATCTTTACTCCCCAAGATAAGGCATTTGATAATATGCTATTTGAAGGAATAAGATCCTGTTTAAAAAAAAAAAAAAAAAAAGGTTTTAAGTAGGAAAATTATCTAAAATGAGTCCCCCCCCGAAAATTCTGAAGTGTAATGCCATTGAGGTGGTTATTCATAACAGGCCCTATGAATTAGAATAGCAAAGTGCACATTGTTTTTTCTTTTAGCATTTCTAAAATCAATCTTACTTAATATATTCCCATATTCTTGACAATTAATGCATACTATAAGGCCAATTTCAAATTTCCAGTAATATTTTACAAGGCCACAAGATGGGGATGTTTCTCCATGAAAAGTAGATTCTGTTTTTTGTAAAATGAGATACATGTGCAGTTTAGCTGTGAAAGATTAAGAAAACAATTTCCACGTTTTTAGTAACAAAATTACAGTGTGATTTTTAAAGTTCCTACTTACGTGATCCTTGATAGCTTTTTCGACTAATAATTTTCCTCTGCTTAAACACATCTGTTAAAAAAAAGCAAAGCAAACATGAAAGTTAAAAAATAGTAATTCATTGGAGGAAATATTAGTTAAAACAGGTAAATCTATAACAGATTCAAGAGGTCAGTTCTTGAAGTAAATTCTATTCAACATAAAGAATAGGTTCCACTAGAATTTTTATCTACAATGAGACAGTTTACAGTTAGTTTCTCATTAAAGACTAAGAAAAAACTATATATACACTATTTTTACAGGCTATTTCACTTTTTAAATATTATGAAAAGTAGGTGAGATGCTACAAATTAACTCAGAACTCATCACCACTGTATCATTATCGTGCACTAAAAAAGCGTTAACTATAAGAATACATGACTCCTTTGATCGCTTTTCCCTTCTTTGCCTTTTCTTCTATGTCTCTTTTCTCAAGTGATTTTTTTGCACCTCATTAGTTTGCTTGTTTCCCCCAATTCTCAAATCATTTGAAAAGGATATTTTTAAAATGGCAACTTAATTACACTTCAATCTAAAAATTAGCAAATTAAACACTTTATCCCTTCCCCTCACCACAATTAATTAAATCTATTTAATTTGTCCTTCATATATTCCATTTTATTGGCAATGGATTGACAGAAAGAGAGGTGATGTTGGGAATTCTATTAGCAGGGGTTGGTAGCCTTTTTATGCTAAGGGCTGGAGAGTACACATTTTAGGCTCAAGTAGGCTATCTAATTTCTACCAAACTATGGACACACAAGAACAACCAAAAATAATAGCTACACAAACAGGTGTGGGGATGTTCCAATTACATTTAATAGACAATGAAATCTGATTTTCATAACATTTTGGCTTGTTTAAAAATACTTGCTTTTTTCTTACCATTTGCGAATGGAAAAACTATGCTTAGTTTACAAGCCATACAAAAAACCGAGCAGGGTAGACTTGGCCATTTTGCTTACTGATACTCTGAAGTTTAAAAAAGGTTTTCTGTTTCTCCTTCAAAAGAATGATCTGCTATTAACTCTTTAGTTATAAATTATTCTGAAAAATAAGCGCCAAATTAAAAAAATTTTATAATTATTTTTTGGTACCAGGGATTGAACTTGGGACCTGGTGCTTGCGAGGCAGGTGGCAGCACCATTTGAGCTAAATCCCTGCCCCCAAAAATTAACTTTCTAAGACAGCAGCCTTGTTAATTAGAAAGTCACAGATATGTGGCTTTACAAGTGAATTCTGCTACCAACCTGTTATTAAAAATCATGAGGTTCTCAGGCCACAACACTTCCCAGTCTCCAAGTATACTGAAAAGACTTACTGTGTCAGGAGTCTTAAATGAACTCCCATCATGACTGGGATGAGGTGAAGTGGCTTCTGCAGTATATGTGGATTCTGGACTTGGGACAGGAGAAATTCGACTCAGTGTTTGCGCAAATTTTGCTTCCTTTTTACTTGAAATAAGATAACTGATATCTTTGCTGAGAAATTCTTCAACTCGCTAGAAGAAAACAAAGTATTTTTAAGTAACTCATACAAACCTTAAATTGTTTCACACAGTAGGTACATGATAAAATTTCAATTTGATGCAATGTAGCACCTTGTACATTGGTGTTATTTCATGGTGTACTCGTCTGAATTTGGAGTCTAAGAAAGTGTAATAGGAGTTCCAGTAATGTGCTAGCCATTATTCTTATGTACTTTATCATAATTAATGTAGCAGGTCTAACAAACCAATGATACTAATATTTTCTACATTTTTCAGAGTAGACAACTTAAGTGACTTAAGATGACACCTTGTAAATAGAAGAATTTGAATATAGATATTCTGACTCAAATCTGATCTAAGCAGCAGCGTCCAGTGGAACTTTCTGCAGTGATGGAAATACTCTTTGCCTGCTGCATTATCCTATCCAATAAGAACAACTTGTCAGGTGGTCACTGAGCACTTCTTCAGAGGATTACTAGAGGCAGGAAGCCTTCACTCTGATGAGCAAGACTGAAGAGAATTTCCCCACTAAAATGTTTGCAAACAGCTGCTTAAATGCCTGAATTTAAAAACACATGTGCCAAAAATCAATGTCAGTGAACATCACCCACATCCCAGGACAGGAAAATTAAACCAGACAAAAAATACTATATTACTAATATAGTAATATAGTAATATAGTAATATAGAATATTACTAATCATATATGTGGTACATAAAAACACTAAATACTAAGTAAATTATTAATTCTTAATAATCTATCTACATAAACGGGAGGCTTGTGAAAATTAACAGCTATACCTAAAATTTCCACAGGATCCAAGGAAATTATAAGAAAAAAGGAAGCAAAGTTTATGTTTAGATTTCATCTAAGCACTGCTAAGAATTGGCTGCTGAGATATGACCTTCTTAGATTAAATGCAAATCACCTTTTTTTCTGGAGCAACATTCATGCTCTCTTTTTTGGGGGGGTACTGGGGATCAAACTTGCATCCCTGCGCTTGGAAGATTGGTGGCAGAACCACTGAGCTAAATCCCCAGCCCCATGAGGGTCTATTCTAGACTCTAACCATACAAGGCTGGTAGGAACAGAAATGACAACTTACATTTCATGTACTATCTTCATCTTCATAACTGTGAGGTAATTTTTCAAAAGAAACCCAGCCCCCTACACATTAGATAAAATATAAATAACCTAAAACTCAACCATTTTAAATGTATAATTTAGTAACGAGTCATTTGCAATGCAGTGCAACCATCCATTTCCAGAACTTTTGGTCATCTCAAGTGACTGTACTCATTAAACAGTATCTCCTTACTCCTCTATCTGCTCAGCTCCTTCTAAGCTTGTCCTACTTTGTCTGTACATTTAGCTATTTTTCAGTACCTCACTGCAATAGTTTAAACATCCCCACTAAAACTTGCGTTCAAGTTTAATTTACATTGTGAGGTATGAGGTATTAAGACACTGAAAACTTAATCCATAATCCAACTATGGTTTTGAAGGTTAGAACCATGGGAAAATAAGTTACATGAAGCCACAAGGGCAGGGCTGGCCATAACTAAAAAGCATTGTGGCTTTTTTTTTGGCAGTACCAGGGATCGAACTCAGGACCTTGCACTTGTGAGGCAGAAGCAGTGCCACTGATCTAAATCCACGGCCCGCATTGTGGCTTTTTAAGAGGATAGATCTAGACTAGGATGGCCTGTCTCACTCAACATGTGGCGTCCTGATCCATGAGAAAACTGCAGAGTTGCCAACAGCAAGGACTTCACCAGATTCGAGATGCCAATCTTGAACCTCCTAGCTTTCAGAATGGGGGTCAAGTAAGTCTTAATTCTTAATATAATATTTTGTTTATTCATTTTACCCATAGATCATTTGGGCTGTTTGAACCTTCTGTAAATAATTCTGCTTTATATGTGGATATACAAATATCTCACTGACATCTTGCTTTCAATTCTGAGCTATATACCCAGAAACAGACCAGCTGCAAAACTTTTAATGGAAATTATCCATACAATTTTGCATCGTGGTCATATCATTTTACATTCCTACGAACAGTGCACATGCACAATGGCTCAATTTCTCTGCAACCTTGTTAAGGTCTGTTATCTTATTGTTCTTTGACAGTAGCCAAACTAATCAGTCTGACTCACTATGGTTTTGATTTCAATTATTGGCCTTTAAATATTTTCTTTCTTTACATCCTTTATCCTTTTTAATTGGGTTATCTACTGTTTTAACTGTAGAAAGTTTCCAGAAAAAATTATCCTGGATGTTACTTATCAGATACACGATTGGAATCTCCTACCTTTCTCAGGTTGTCTTTTCTCACTTTATAATTTCTTTAGCGGCAGAAGAGTGCTTAATTTTGACTAAGTCCAATTTATTTTCCCCTAAGAATTTTACCTTACATTTAGACTAAGATCCATTTTATTTTTCAAATGATAAGAGTCCAATTTCATTCTCTTGCATGTGGATACACAGCTTTCCTAAAACCAGTTGTTGAAAGGATTGTCCCTTCCCTTCTTCCTTGATCTTTTTAGTCCTGTGTTTTCTGTCCTGTTCCACTGTCTGTGTCTATCCTTAGGTTAGCACCACATGTCATTTGATTTTTCATTTCTTAAAGATTGACTTAAACTCACTGGTAGTGAATAAAATGTCCTTTATGATGTGGTGCTGACAGAATCTTTTTTATTGCCATTAACCCTCCATCTAATTCCCAAGTTCAACACACACTGCAGTAACACAAGTTTAGCAAGCAAACGTTAGTGTTAACAAATATTTTAAATATGCTTTTTCTTACATTAAATATATCTAATTTTGCCTAGTATATTTCTACCATGCACCCAAAACTCAGCTCAAATGCTGTTTGCTATGATTCTTAAAGGAAGCGTTAATCATCTTCATATGTGTTCTAACAGCAATTTCTACATACTTTTGTTAAAGCATTCACAATGCTTTACTGTAAACTGTCTATGCGATGCTCCCACTAGACTGATTATTACTACGAGAGGACTGGACTGTACCTGTTTTATTCGCCCTCAGCATTTTTAACAGTGCTGGCACAAAGGAGAAAATGCTGAGTTTAAATGGTGTCTGTACAATGTACTCCTCAATTCCTCAGAAGTAACCTCTCTTGAAACTTCATGATTTTACCACAGTCACTGACCCACATCTCCACCTAAAACTTGATAGGATGGACATAGGATTCATTTCATAATCTATCAAAAGACATGAAACTAGCCACTGTGTAATAATTGTTGAATTAGTTTTACCAGAGTCTTTGATTTATTAAAAATGGTTGAATGTATGCCTTTACATAACTTGCAAGCTTACTTTCTGATTAAGTCAAGGTCACAGTGAGAATACCAAAATATTTAGTTCTGTCCTCAAATTAATGATACTGCAAGGCAGTTGCTTTTACATTTCTGCTCTTCTATAGTTGCTTTATTTTAGCCAAACTGCTTAAACATGGACCTAAATATGATGGGTTCCAAGACAGTTTTGTACCAGCTATTTTTCTTGCCATTATTAGAAATGTTTTCCCATTATGTCAAAATATGCCTACGCTCTCAGTGGCTGAATCTGTCAGAAGTATTCTGTGCAGACAAGTGGGGAATTAATATGCTTATATAAACTATGACAAAAATATACAGTAAATGTTTAAGTTTAAAAAATGTATTAAAATAAGACACCCTCCACTAATCCTCATCAAAATACTCTCCCTCACTTCAAGCACACTTACTTATCCCATTGTTCTTGTCACTTTCTGAAGCAGCTCTGAAAGTCCTCTTTCATGTGTGTCTTTAGGGACAATACCCTGGCTGCTTTGTTGTTCTGAACTGCTTCTAAACATTCAACTTTCATAGTCATTCTGACTTTGAGGAAAAAGCACGAAGCCACATGGTACAGATCCAGAGAATAATCCAAATGAGAACACAATATAATGTTTTTATGGACCAACATTTCCATGGGATGGCACTGAGCAGCAGCATTCAACATAGTTTTGATCACACCTTCAAAAAACACTCACAAAAGGAGACTACCAGAACTGTTTCAGAAAGTGACAAGAATGACAGGATTGCCATGTGTGGTAGCTCACATCTGTAATCTCAGCACTCAGGAAGCCGAGGCAGGAGGACTGCTGTGAGTTTGAGGCTGGACTACATAGTGAGTTCAAGGCCAGCCTGAATTACACAGCCAAGACCCTGTCTCAAAAAACAGATGAGATAATTGTTAGAAGGGGGAATATTTTGACAGCAATGACAATGTATTTTTTACAGTAATACAATTTTTAAAAAAATTTAGATATTCACTGAATTTTTGAGCACAGATCATAAAGTGGTCAATTAAACAAAGACAGTACTACAAGATGTTCATGTGAAGCAAGATAAGTAGTAAAAACATCTTTTTAGTAATAGAAATGGTAAGTATGCTACAGACAGAAATTTAAGACCTAGGGAATGAATATCCTTGACTTATACAGGAAAGAGTGGGTGGGAAAAATCAGAATTCAATAAATTTTTTAAAATTAAGGAAAAACTTAACCAATGAAACAGAAAAATCTAAAGGCTTGGGAGAAAATTTAGAAACTATGACCTTAATATGCTCACTGAAATGTGTCAAACCATTTTAGGGTAAAGATAATAAAAACAAAAGGTTCCTTAATTATTATGTATGGCAGAAGATATTCAAAATTTGTTAAGTACCTCATGAACTGCTGTGGGGATGGGAAAGAAGAGGGCAGGGGAAGCGGCTGCTGCTCTTGTCACTGTATTGCTGTTTTGGACACACTGAATATGATTTTTTTCTGAAGGATTATAATGCTAAAAATACAAATCTAAGTACCACTGATTTAGACCATTAGACCTAGGGTGAACCGAGTTATCACCATAAGAAAGCTGTCCAACTGTCAAACAGCTATTTTGAAGCCTGCGATTGCTAAAGGAACAGAATTGGGATATGCTGTGTTACACTAGGAATTAGAAGGCTAAAAGTACTGACTGGGCCAATCAACTTTTGTGTACTCAAGAACTTCATTTCCAAAGTCAATGGATCTTTACTCATGTCTAATGCCCTTCACACATTAGAACACTTGATAGGTGGCAGTCAATATAGGGACAGGCCTTTAGACATCACCTTTAGAAATGTGTACGATCATCATGATAAATGCGACTGCTATTACAGTGTGTGACAATATTTCAGTTTAACAAAACGAACAGCAAAAAAGTAAAATATAACTTTTCAAAGATGGATTTGCCTGTTAGGTTTCCTAATTATATAACGTAAGAAAGATTTAATTTTTAATCCAAAATTCTGTTCCTTTAAAGACACTAACATTTTGTTGAGGGTATCTCTTAAGATATGTGTGAATACTATTCAACATCATTATGTTGTTGTTTTTTTGACACAGGATCTCACTGTGTAGTTTGGACAGGCCTTGACTCACAACGTAGCCCAGTCTGGCCTTGAACTCAGAGTGATCCTCCTGCCTCAGACTCCCAAGAGCTGGGACAACAGGCATGAGCCACCATGCCCAGCCTTCAACACCAACTTTAACTCTGTGGGTTGAATAGGTTTTCTGTAATAATTCTTTTTGGTCAGGCTACAAAATGGGTTAGAAGATTAAAACAAATGGGTTTCTTATCCTTTTCTTTTGCTTTGGGATTGAATCCTGCGGCACGCCAAACAGATATTCTCAGTCTCCAAATGGTTTTTCATTAATGAAAAACAGCTGAAAAATCAAGCTTGGTTCAAACAGATGATTGGTTACAAGTATACCAAAACAAAATTTAAACGATTATATATCAAAAGTACTAGTCACAAATTTTTAGTTTTTGATCAATATAGTTTTCACTTACCCCTCCTAGGTCCTTTATGTCTTTTTGCAGTTTTTCAGATAAGGTGGCAGAAGGTAAGTCAAGATAAAATACTTTTCCCCAGAGCGGCTTACATTTGGATTTTTCTGGTCTGTTACTATTTTTAAGAGATTTCAAAGATGATTTGTTCTTTTCATTTTTCACTTGGATTCCACCTGTATTTTAAAAAGCTTTGAATTAATGTCTCAAATAAAATTTTTAGTTTTAGAAATATTGTATTATGCAATAATCGTATAACAGGAAGGAAAAATCCAAACCATCACACCCGTTTAAGTCGTTAACACTTAAATATATTTTATTACCACCACTTAGGATAAAAGCGAAATATCCTAGTTGTTGGAAATTAAAAGTTGAATCACAGGATGTATTAAAGCACAGATCTACATAACCTTTCCTGGAAGCCTTTCTTACGATGTAAACTCCATGGAGATATTTACTCAACTATTTACTTATTGAGCATCTAGCATTCTGCTGAACACTCAAAATTGCTTCAAATATTAAAACACCCAGCAATACTAATCAGAACGACTTAGTCCTCTAGGGCCAGTGACTGCTTTCGTTTCACTAAGAACTTAAAGGTCTATTAAGTACTACATTATCATTTCATTGTTTTCACTGAAAACTTCTGGGACACAATCAACTGCTATGAACTTCTGGATCACAAACTCTCTTAGCTGGTGGCTACGAAGACCTACGAAAGACTTCAGACGCCGAAATGTTTCACCAAATAAAATTTTTAACAGCGAACATTTGCGCTCTCTCGTTTGTAATGTTGAAACAAACAATGGACGTCTCGAATACTTTCCCTCAACGTAAGAGTGAAAACAAATAAACTTTAAGACTAAAAACCCACGCACGACCA